TTTTGTGTGATTCTTCTATAAATTTTCTTTTTCCCTTCACGGTGTTTTTGACATTTATCTGTGCTGCCAATTCATTTAACCACTGTATAGTATTTCATTAAATGCTTTTTATTTGTTATATCATTGGATTTTGTGTATGATTTCTTTTTCTGTTTTTGTAATAGAGTTTATCTTTAAAGCAATTTAGGTTTACAGAAAAAGTGAACAGAAAGTACAGACAGTTCACATCCCCCTCTCAGTTTCTCCTGTTATTAACCATCTTGCATTAGTGCGGTACATTGTTACAATTATGAACCAATGTTGATGTATTATTACTACTCAGTTTTACATTAGGATTTCCTCTTTGTGTTTTGCAGTTCTGTGGGTTTTGCCAAATTCCTAATGTAATATATTTACCATTACAGTATCATGCAAAATAGTTTCACTGCCCTAAAAATCTTCTGTGCTCTACCCATTCATCTCTCCCTTCCTTCTCCTCTGAAATCTTGCACTGATGTTTTTTCTTTTTTCATTACCTTAAACGTTTCTAATTTCTTTGTGTTGGGAACATTCAAAATCCTCTCTTCTAGCACATTGAAAGAATATAATAAATTGTTAATTATAGTCACTCTGTAGTACTCTAGAACACTTGCTCTTATTCCTCCAATCTAGCTGTAATTTTGTATTGGTTACCCAACCTCTTACTATCCCCCCTCCCTGTCTGTACTTCTGTGTGATCAATTTTCTGCAGCTTACACATATGATTGAGAACATGCAGTATTTCTTTTTCTGTCCCCGACTTATTTCACCTAACATGATGTCCTCGGAGTCCAATCATGTTGCTGCAAATGACAGGATTTCATTAATTTTTATGGCTGAATAGTATTCCGTTGTATATATATACCCTTTTTATTTCTTCATCCATTCATCTGTTGATGTACACTTGGGTCAGTTTCATATCTTGGCTATTGTGAATAGTGCTGCAATAAACATGGGAGTGCAAATATCTCTTTGATATACTGATTTCCTTTCTTTTTGATATATACCCAGTAGTGGCATTGCTGGGTCACATGGTAGTTCTAGTGTTAGTTTTTTGAGGGACTTCATACTGTTTTCCATAATGGCTGAACTAATTGATGTTCCTACCAAGAGTGTATGAGTTCCTCTTTCTCCACATCCTCTCCAGCATTTGTTATTTTCTGGGTTTTTTGGTAATGGCCATTCTAACTGGAGTGGGATGGTATTTCATTGAGGTTTTGATTTGCATTTCCCTGATGATTAGTGTTGTTGAATATTTTTTCATGTATCTGTTGACCATTCATATGTCTTCTTTTGAGGAAGTATATTCAGCTCAGTTGCCCATTTATTAATTGGATTATTTGTTATTTTGCTGTTGAGTTTTTGAGTTCTTTGTATATTCGGGATATTAATCCCTTGTTGGATGCATAGGGATTGCAAATATTTTCTCCCATTCTGCAGGTTTTCTCTTTGTTTCCTTTTCTGTGCTTTATTAGTTTGATGTAGTCTTGTCTATTTTTGCTTTTGTTGCCTGTGCTTTAGAAGTCTTTTCCATAAAATTTTTGCCCAGACCAATGTCCTGAAGCATTTCCATGTTTTCTTCTAATAGCTTTATAGTTTCAAGTCTTATGTTTAAGTCGTTAATTTATTTTGAGTTTATTTTTATGCATGTTGAGTGATTGGGGTTGTGTTAGTCTGTTTCTGTTGCTTATATGGAATACCTGAAACTGGTTGAATTATAAAGAAATAGAATTTATTTCTTACAGTTGGCAGGCTGAAAAATCCACAATCCAGAGGGCTCGTGTGATGAGGGCCTTGGTGGTAGTGCCTCTACAGTGATGCATGTTATCATATGTAGAATGGCTTGAGCGAGAGAGAGCTAACCTGCTCACTTGCTTTCCTTATAAAGCCATCAGAGTCATGCTCATTACCACCATTAAACCATCAATTTATTACTGCATGAATGGATCAATCCATTTACTAGGGCATTGTCCTCACAATCTAATAACCTCTTAAAAGCCCCACCTTTCAATGACCTTAATAGGATTTCACACCCTCAACACTGTTACAGTGGGATTTAATACATGAACCCTTGGGGGAGACAATTCAATCCATAGCAGGGGTCTAGTTTTATTCTGAATATGGATAACCAGTTTTCCCAGCAACATTTATTGAAGAGGCTGTTTTTTCCCCATTGTGTGTTGTTGGTACCTTTGTTGAAAAATATTGGCTGTATATACACGGATTTATTTCTGGGTTTCTGTTTTGTTCAGTTGGGCTATGTGTCTGTTTCTATCAGTACCATGCTGTTTTGGTTACTACAGTTTGTAGTATATTTTGAAGTCAGGTAATGTGGTGCCTCCTGCTTTGTTCTTTTTGCTTTAGGATTTCTTTGGCTATTTGGAGTCTTTGTTGTTCCATATACATTTTAGGAGTTCTTTTTTTTAATTTTTTTATTTAAATGTCATTTGTATTTTGGTAGGGATTCCATTGAATCCATAAATCACTTGTGGTAGTATGGTCATTGCAGTAGCTTGAATGCCCCCCAAAGTTGTTAAAGCTCAGTCCCATTATAACTGTTGAGGATGGGAAATCCTATTATGGTAATTGAAAGGTGGGGCCTTGAATAGTTGATTAGATTCTGATGACCATGCCCTAATGAGTGGATTAATAATGGTGGTTATGGCATGGTTCTGAGGGCTTTAAAAGGAGAGCATGAGAGAGTGTCTCTCTCTCTGTTCTGCCATTTTCTGCCATGTGAGACCCCTGCATTGCTGTAAAGCTACCACCAAAGAAGATCCTCACCAGATACGTTCCCTGGGCTTTGGATTTCCCAGGCTCCAAAACTGTAAGCAATAAATTTTGTTTTCTTACAAAGTACCCAGTTCCAAGTATTTTGTTATATATACAACAGAAATGGACTAATATGGTCATTTTCACCATATTCTTCCAATACATGAACATGGGATGTTTTCCCATTTTTTTGTATCCTTTTTAATTTCTTTCGTCAGTGTTTTATAGTATTCAAGATAGATACTTTTCAACTCCTTTGTTAAATTAATTTTTAAATGTTTTATTTGAAAGCTGTTGTAAACAGGATTGCTTTCTTTATTTCTTGTTCATTGTTGGTGTATAGAAACACTGCTGGTTTTTGTATGTTGCTGTAGTCTGCTGTTGACCTTTGTATTGTATTTTTTATTTTATTCATTGATTTCTTTATCTGTAGGACTTCTGTTTGGTTTTTTTTTTTTAATGACATTTGTCTCTGTTAAATTTCTTGTTTGTATCATGATTTTACAGGTTTTGTTGAATTGTGTTTCAGGATTTTCTTGTATCTTCTTGAGTTTTCTTAAGATTGTTGTTTTGAATTTTTTTTCCAGCAGTTTGTATATTTCTTTTTCTTTGGGATCTGTCACTAGAATGCTATTGTGTCCCTTTGGCATTGTCATGTGTCCTTGCTTTTTCATGTTTCTTGTGTCCCCGTGTTATTGTCTGTCCATCTGGTGATAGAATCACCTCTTCCAAGCTTTACAGAGTGACTTTCAAAGTCTTTCCCCTGCAGATGGATCTTAGTGTATTGGTTGGGAAGGGTATGTTGATTCTAGTTTCATATCGATACCGTGGTATAGTCTCTGAGCAGCTTCTTCACCTGTAATCAGCATCACTGATAACTGGGTGCCTAAGTGACCAAGGATGTAGAAGTTTGTGGCAGTATTGACGTATTAAGGTCATCAGTGGCAAGGGCTTTTGAGATATTCCTACTTTTGTTTTCCCCACAGTGGGGATACTTCACCAAGGGGATCATTCTTGGTGTTGGGTCTGATGTGACCTATAAGCAGCATCATTGGCTCTGGGTTCCAGGTGCAGGTGCTCTGAATGGCTCTGGAGCCTGGATCTTAGGTTCAGGGTCTTGTGAACCTAATATGGCATCTAGGTCTTGGGGTGGAGGTTCACTTTCTGTTGCAGGGTTGGATGTAGATTGCCCACAGGACCAGGATATGTGACTGTGAGGAACCCCCTGGAAACTCAAGCCCAGTAGACTTGGTTGCAGCTATGATTCTGATCCTTGGGGGCAGGGCACAGCACTGGCCTGACCCTGGGCAAAAGGGGTGGTTTGGAGGCTTGGGCCTGAGGAGCAGGGTACAGCTAAAACTTGAGAACCAGAGTATTAGGGCTCAGTATTTACTCATTGAGGTGTGGCACTATGTAGTGATGACTCTAGACCCTGGAGGAGGTAAGGCACCATACAGTGGTGACTTTAGATTATGGGACTTGGCAATGTCCCAGCTTCTGTTGGGCCAAGTGCAGCAGCAGCAGGGACTCCAGAATGGCAGGGCACAGCTGTTGCTTGGGCCCTGAAGGGCAAAAAGCAGCACAGTGCTGACTCCACTCCCAGGGGAAAGGGGTATCTTAGCAGCTTGGTCTTTAGGGGGCTACTCTAGCTCCAGCAAAGAAGAATACTAGAGTTATTTGCCTCTTTTGTAACTATTTTTTTTTTTTTTTGACCAGTAATGAGTTGCTTGAAAGCAGAGGCTTCCTTGTGATCAGCTAATATTCTTTGACTGAATGCTATGTTTTCATAGTTATTTTCTGGAAAAGTGGTCTAGGATGATAGGTAATGATTTATTACTTTGCCATTTTTAAATGTGATGACCTTTTTAACTACTCTTCTTTTTTCCTTTCAGACAACTGATCAATACTGGGTTCCATGTTTACATGATGAAACTGAGAAACTAGTTCGTAAGGTAAAATAAAAGAAATACTATATTTGTCAACCTGTGGACTTGATGAAAGAGGCATTTAGAAAGGCAAATAATAATCTACAGATAAAGATTTATGTGAATTGTGTTTATTTGCTTAACTGTGATATGGTTTACTAATTATTTGAGACTTCTGAGAAGAGCATATATTAAAAATCCTTCAGAGAAAATGAGATAATGAACTTGATTTTTTTTCAGTTAGTTCGATTGGATAACCTTTTTGCCTATTGGAATGTGAAGTCTCAGATGTTTTATCTTAATGATTATGGTGAATCATTGGTAAGTAAATTTTTTTGATATGTGTGTATATATATTTGTTGGTATTATCATATTTTGCATAAGATTTAATTCATTGTCATAGGCAAAATTCATTAGCAGAATTTACAGAAAAAGGTGAATATGGATGTGCTTGTACACAAACATGCATACACACATACACACACATCTTAACAGTTCCTCAAGCATTTTTTTATAATAGTAGTTTAAGGATATTTTGCTTAACCACTTTCATATTTTGCCATAAGTAAGTCCTTCTAAGTTTGAGTCATTTTTTTAAAAAATTGGTTTTAAACATTTTTCTCTGCAGATAAAAGGATTTTATAGGATAGAGGTATATTGGTATGAATATAAATAAAAGCAATTTGTCTTTTAATAGGACAGTTTGAGGAAAGGCATTGTCAATGAAAATGTTCCAGAAGGTTATGATTTTGGTAAGTACATTTCATAAAATAAAAATTATAATTAAAGTAGTGAGTACAAATTTTAAATCAACATTGTTGATGTCACTGATATTTCATGTTAAATTTTCTATTATATAGTTAATATAAGCAAACCCTCAAGCAACATGGGTTTGAATTGCGCAGATCCACTTATTCGTGGATTTTTTTCAATAAATATTTTGGAAGATTTTTGCTTAGGTATGTCATCAATGCATGATATACTTTATTAATTGAGAGCTTTGGTCTGTATTTCAAAACTGTAGGGAAAAATATCCTGTAGAAGAGGATGTTAATAAATTATGATAAATCTCTAAGGATATTAAATAATAATTAATGATAATGTTTATAAAGACATTTTGAAGTAGCAAATACAGTTTAATAAGGCTAGCTGCCACAGCCAGTAGTGTGATCTTACTCTTTTAAAAATGTACAGCTAAAATTTTCTTTATTATACTTTTTTCTGTTTTCCAAATTTTATAAGCATGTAAATGAATGAGTTACTAAAATACAAGGGGTCTTCAAAAAGTTCATGAAAAGATTTTTAATATCTTGTAATTTCATTTTTCCCCAATCTTTTTGAAATATCCTCATATACATACTGGAGTGCAGTTTCTTCTACCCGTAGAGCACTCAGTAAATTTTTATTGGTGATGGATAACTTAGTTTTTGAATTTGAATGCCTGTTGTCATTAATTATGGAAAATCATTCCTGAAAGTATTTCTTTTCTTGGCTTTAGTGATACTTTTTTTCTGTATTCTACTTCGTGATCACTCTTAATTAATTTCCTCAAATGGTACTGCTTCTTGAGCCCACTTTTAAAATATTATTTTCATTGGTTTGTATTTGGTTTTATTTTTTGATTCTCTCCTCATAGGAAATATTCAAAAGAGATATCTATCATGTATGCTGATAATTCTCAAATCTAGTACTTATATGTTTGACTTATTTCTCCTTCGCCCTACAGTCATTTCCTTGTGTATCAGTCAAGGGTCTGTTGAAGAGAGGGACACCACATGGTAATTTCAACAGGGAAAGTTTAATTCAAAGAATTGTATACAATAGAGGGGTTTGGAGTAACAAGGGATTGGCTAATAAAATGTAGAATGCAAAAGAATATAGGAAAAGTAGATAGAAGGAACAGCTTCTACCCAAGGGCTAAGATGGAGTGCCCAAAGAAGAGGGCTCCTTTCCCTCAGTACTGAGATCTACACCTTATTGGAGAGGACATAGCCATGGCTTACAGAATGTCAGGAAAGTCTCTGTAGTGCTGTGCCAGCAAAACTTGTTGGATATTCACCGTCTGGAACTATCTGGAAATCTGTCCTATAGGGGGCCTCATGGAGAAGCATCTCACTGTATGCACTTTACTACAAAACTGCCTTAGCAGGGTGCTGGGGGAAGTTGCTGGCTGCTGGCTGCTTCTAGCTGCCATATACTGCAAAAGGTTGGTGCTGAAATAGTCTTTCATGCTATAGGAGTTAGACACTAAAGCGTGTTGGAGAAGCCAGGCCACTGTCTCTCCAGTGTCCTCCACTGATAAAACTTAATGTAATGCTAGCTGGTGAAGGAAAAGTATTTAAAGGGCTCAAAACCATTTTTCAGAGCAGGTACTGAAGGTTGAATTTGGAGCTCAGAGGCAATAAATTGATAACTGGTGTATGTGCTGGTGAGGGAGGGGAGAATGAAGGGTTTCTTTTTGTTTATTTGTTTTTGTATTTAATGGGAGAGAGGACAGCTTGTTTATATCTTACAGGCTAAGATGGTAATGATTCAGTAGAACATGAAAAATTAATGATGCAGGAGAGAAAGGGGGATAATTTTTGGATTGTTGTGGGTGAAAGGGAATGTTATCTAGTGCTTAAACGGAGAGTTTTGCGACAGATAGCATGGTCGGTTCATTTATAAAATAGATTTTAGTTATAAGAAAAGTCCTAATATTGGGTAGATGAGTAGATATGGTGATAGGAGTTTATGGAATTTCTCTTCTTAGCTCTTCTATTATTTATTTATTTATTTTTTAATATCCGTGGTGTCAGTTCATTTTCTGCTGCTTATAACAGAGTACCCAAAATTGGGTGATTTATAAGGAGGTGAAATTTATTTCTTGCAGTTCTGGAGGCTGGGAAGTTTAAGGTTGAGGGTCCACGTCTTGTGAGTGCCTTCTTCCTGGTGGGGACTCCGCAGAATTGTGAGGCACCTCAGTGTATCACATGGTGAGGGGGCTGGGTGGGCTAATGTGCTTGGCAGGTCTCTCTTCCTCTTCTTACAAAGCTACCAGTTCCACTCCCATGATAACTCATTGATCCGTCAACTCATTAATTCATTAAACCATTAATCCACGAATAATCAATTAATTTATGAATGATAAATCTATTAATGAGGGCAATGGCCCTCATGATCCAGTCACCTCTTTAAGGCCCCACCTCTCAGTCCTGCCACTTTGGAAATTAAGTTTCAACAAGAATTTTAGAGCCGACATTCAAACCATAGCATGGGGGGTTTGTGGAGGGAAAAGAGGCTATGAAATAGTCATGTAGGTGAGTGAGAGAATGAATTGACTAAGCCAGTATTCTCAAAGTACAGTTTGAACTAGCAGGATCAGCATCACTTAGAAATGCATGTTTCTAGGCCCCATCCCAGCCTACTGAATCAGAACTTCTGGGGGTGAAGCTCAGCATTTGATGTTTTAGTAATCTCTAGATGATTCTGATGAATTCTAAAGTTTGAGAACCACTGGGCTAGAGTAGGAGTTGGGCAATTTTTTTAATAAAGGGCATATAGTAGATTAAATAATTTACATTTTGCATGCTTTATATAGTCACCAACACATATTCCTCTTTGTTTATTTTAAACAACCTTTAAAAGTGTAAAAATAATNAGTTGGGCAATTTTTTTAATAAAGGGCATATAGTAGATTAAATAATTTACATTTTGCATGCTGTATATAGTCACCAACACATATTCCTCTTTGTTTATTTTAAACAACCTTTAAAAGTGTAAAAATAATTTTTTTTTTCCCCAGCTAAACAAAAACAGGCTATGGCATGGATTTGGCTGTTGCCTGAACTGAAGGAATGTTGCGTGATTGCTCAGCAGCATTAAGGACCCTCAAGATCTGTGAGGTTATGATAATATGAGACTGATTAGTGTGATTGTATGTTTTTTTCCAGCCACATTCATCTGCTCAGGTGCAGATGTGGAGTTAAGTGGATTTTGCTGAGCAAGTACTGACGAAGCGAGAAGGGCAAAAGAGTTAGAGTAAATGCAAGGGAATGATTAAAATAACTGATGATGGAATTTCAGCAGGGTAGGGATGGAACTGAGGACACGAAGCAGAGGTGAAGGACAGAGAAAAGGAGGATCAGTGAATTATAGGTCCAGGGTAGCTTCTGTCACCAATTTACTGATTTTTCCTACTGTGTTAGTGTAAAATGGAATGTGGAAGAAAGAGCACGATCTTTAATGTAGTGTATTGAATTATGTCCCCCCAAAACTCAGTGAAGCTTGAATTGTGTTACCAAGTTTTATGTATTAGGAACTTAGCCCCCACTGAGACTGTTAAGAGGGTGGGAAATCCTGTTATAGTAACTGAAAGGTGGGGCCTTGAAGAGGTGATTGGATTGTAGGACCGTGCCATAGTGAATGAATTAAAAATGGTGGTCAGGGGTGTGGTTCTGAGGGATTTAAAAGAAGAGGAGAGTCTCTCTCTTGTTCTGTCCCTGCTCTCTCTGCTTCTACCATCTTGCAGTGTGAGACCCCTGGGTCACTGTCACCACCACCAGATGGACTTTGGACTTCCCAGCCTTAGAAACAGTAAGCAATAAATGTCTTTCTTATATCACCCAGTTCCAGGTATTTTGTTATAAGCAACATAAGCGGACAAGTACATTTAAGCGTTTATTTCTACTGATGAAAAATATTTATGGATGCTGAATGGGTAAAAAACTAAGTGCTAGTCCTTGGGGATGATGAAAACAAGAGGAATACCATCAGCCCTTCGTATCTGTGAGTTCTGAATCTATGGATTCAACCAACTGCAGATTGAATATATTTGGGAAAAAATAAATAAAAATTACAGTACAACAGGAAAAAGTACAAATTAAAAAAACAGCATAACAACTGCATAGCATTTACATTTTATTAGGTATTATTAGTAATGTATAGATGATTTAAAGATTAAGGGAGGGCCGGCCCGGTGGCGCACTGGAGAGTGCGCCGCTTGGGAGTGCGGCGGCGCTCCCGCCGAGGGTTCGGATCCCATGTGGAGACCGGTTCCCGCTCGTTGGCTGGGCGTGGTGCGTGCGCAGCGCCGAGGGTTGCGATCCCGTTGCCGGTCCCCGGTGCGGGTGCGACACTGAGGGTTGCAGTCCCGTTACCGGTCAGTAAAAAAGACAAAAAGGGAAAAAAAAAAAAGATTTAGGGAGAATATGCATAGGTTATATGCAGTTACAATGCCTTTTTATATAAGGAACTTGAGCATGCTCGGATATTGGTATCCATGGGGATCCTCGTGAACTCAGTCCCTTCACAGATACTGAGAGACAACTGTATAGTATCTTTGTATAAAAAATTAGCTTATAATTTACTAGTTGATCTCTGTCTAGCTTCTGCTGTTACTGATTTCCTTCTGCATGGTTCTTTTTCTTTGTATTATTTGTATGCACTAAATACAAACAGTTGAGAGTAATTTATCTTAGATTATGGGTTGAGGCAAACAGATAATCCTGGGCAAACTCTCACCCTTCTTCTCTGCCCTTCTTTTACAAGCTAAAAGGAGGAACAGGTGGATACAGAGAAATTGACCAGAAATTCAGAACTTATAACTTTATAATGGATGTTAGTGTTAAATATAATCTTTTTTCTTTTTAAGCATTTCTAGTGTTCATTTGTTTTCTAAACTGTACTTTAATTAAAACTATTTTATTGGACTATTTTCTTCATAAAGAATGTTTGTGCTTTTAAGAGTTGTACTGGTGGGCTGACCCTGTGGCTCACTTGGGAGAGTGCAGCGCTGGAAGCACCGAGGCCGCGGGTTTGGATCCTATATAGGGATGGCCGGTGTGCTCACTGGCTGAGCATGGTGCAGACAACACCAAGCCTAGGGTTCCGATAACCTTACCGGTCCAAAAAAAAAAAAAAGTGTTATGCTGGTGTCTTGAGAGAAAGTTCGGTTAGCCTTTATTGTACTTATAGAACACAAAATGAATTATAAACAGGAAAAGATAAAAGAATCTTCTCCACTAACAGTTCATCTGACCAAATCATGGCGGTGTAGACATGTAGGAACTGTAGAAATGGTATAAAAGAAATGAAAATCAGTGTTCTCAGCTTGATCCCTTTAGTGCCTTGAGACTTTTGAAATATAACTCAATTTTTTAAATTTGTATTATTTTCCAGTATTTCGCCCCATATCTGCTAATGCCAAACTTCAGATGAATCGCCGATCAGATTTTGACTTTTCTGACCCAAAAGTGAACCTGGATGTTGAGTTACATAGCATAGCAATTGAACGGGTGCGACACTGAGGGTTGCAGTTCCGTTACCGGTCAGTAAAAAAGACAAAAAGGGAAAAAAAAAAAAGATTTAGGGAGAATATGCATAGGTTATATGCAGTTACAATGCCTTTTTATATAAGGAACTTGAGCATGCTCGGATATTGGTATCCATGGGGATCCTCGTGAACTCAGTCCCTTCACAGATACTGAGAGACAACTGTATAGTATCTTTGTATAAAAAATTAGCTTATAATTTACTAGTTGATCTCTGTCTAGCTTCTGCTGTTACTGATTTCCTTCTGCATGGTTCTTTTTCTTTGTATTATTTGTATGCACTAAATACAAACAGTTGAGAGTAATTTATCTTAGATTATGGGTTGAGGCAAACAGATAATCCTGGGCAAACTCTCACCCTTCTTCTCTGCCCTTCTTTTACAAGCTAAAAGGAGGAACAGGTGGATACAGAGAAATTGACCAGAAATTCAGAACTTATAACTTTATAATGGATGTTAGTGTTAAATATAATCTTTTTTCTTTTTAAGCATTTCTAGTGTTCATTTGTTTTCTAAACTGTACTTTAATTAAAACTATTTTATTGGACTATTTTCTTCATAAAGAATGTTTGTGCTTTTAAGAGTTGTACTGGTGGGCTGACCCTGTGGCTCACTTGGGAGAGTGCAGCGCTGGAAGCACCGAGGCCGCGGGTTTGGATCCTATATAGGGATGGCCGGTGTGCTCACTGGCTGAGCATGGTGCAGACAACACCAAGCCTAGGGTTCCGATAACCTTACCGGTCCAAAAAAAAAAAAAAGTGTTATGCTGGTGTCTTGAGAGAAAGTTCGGTTAGCCTTTATTGTACTTATAGAACACAAAATGAATTATAAACAGGAAAAGATAAAAGAATCTTCTCCACTAACAGTTCATCTGACCAAATCATGGCGGTGTAGACATGTAGGAACTGTAGAAATGGTATAAAAGAAATGAAAATCAGTGTTCTCAGCTTGATCCCTTTAGTGCCTTGAGACTTTTGAAATATAACTCAATTTTTTAAATTTGTATTATTTTCCAGTATTTCGCCCCATATCTGCTAATGCCAAACTTCAGATGAATCGCCGATCAGATTTTGACTTTTCTGACCCAAAAGTGAACCTGGATGTTGAGTTACATAGCATAGCAATTGAATTTAATAAACCACAGGTGATTTCCTTAAATGAAATTTTCAATTATGAATTATTATTTGATAAAAGCAAAACTAAGACTTTAAATGTTTTTCTAAAATGTCTAACGTTATATGGTAAAATTTTCTTTAAAAAGTCATTTAACTTTTATCTTCAACAATTGAACAAAAAATCTGAAATATTTACGAGCTTTAATTTTTCCATTCTTTAGTATTTCAGTGTTGTGGAGCTTCTTGAATCAGTTGATATGATGACACAAAATCTGCCTTACAGGAAATTCAAACCTGATGTACCTCTTCACTACCATGCAAGGGAATGGTAAAATGCCTTATTTTTATATTTTTTTAATATTTAAAAAATATGGCATAAAATTAAGTTTCTTGACTTTCAGAATAATTTTTTAAGATACTCTTTTTAGGCCTGATACAAACTGTAATTTGATTTTTGGCTAGAAACATGTAGCTGCTTTTGCTTATTATGTTTATGAAATTGACATAATAGATCCTTCCTAACACAATTCACAACAGGAGATACTAGAATACCATAGTTTTCATTAACTGTAGAGGGATAATTAAAAACTATCTTATTTTTTATTTATTATATTTTTGGAATAATTAAAAAACTATATCCTGGTTTGTTTTCTAGTGGTGCCCTTTTTTTTTTTTTTCTTTCAAACCTCCTATAAGGTATACTAAATCTATATTACTAAACCTATATTTTATAACCTGAAAAGTTTATGGGAATCTATGCAGTATAATTCTATCTTAAAATTCAAAAGTCTTGTTACTCCAGTTTTTAAGCTATTCTCTAATTTCCAGAAGTTCTAATTATTCTTTCAGTTGACTATTATCTGTCAGTTAATATCCTAATTGTTCTTGTGTAAAGCTATATTTTAACAAAACTGAGTGATTTTGTTTATTTGTACCTAGGAAAGGGGTAAGATTAATAATTTATGAATTGTTAATGCAAATGGGTTGGTAAAAAGGAAGTGCTCAGGTAATATACCATTTTCATAGTCTGTATAGTAGTTATGTATGCTGTTGGAGTAGAAGCAATATCAGTTATATTTCATACTGTTGAGTTGAGTGTGTGAAGTGGGGGTTTTTCTTTTTGTCTTCTAACTAGGTGGGCTTACGCTATACATGGTGTTCTTGAAGTAAATGTTTGCCCCAGGTTACGGATGTGGTCATGGAAGCATATTAACGAACATAGGCAAAGAGTGAAGCAATATAAAGAACTGTATAAAAAAAAGTTAACAAGTAAGAAGCCATCTGGTGAAATTCTCACGTCTTTGGAGGTTAGCATTTAAAAACTGAATATTTTGTACATAACTCCTCCTTAGTCTTTAGTGACGTAATACTTCCTACTTGTTTGCTTTCATTTTTACTGACTGTTCTCTGTCTCTTCTACTTAGACTTTTTTGTACCTTTGTTCGTAAGTTCACTTTAATATAAGTTCTGGTGAAATTCTCCTGTAAGCTTTTGAAATTTGAGATTATTCTCAATCTGAAGGGATTTGGGTTCATACAAATAGTGACTTGAAGCCTCACTTTATTATTATGTCATTTTTAACCTCAAAAGCCTAAAAAGTGTTTACTACTTTGATTCCAAACTTCTCTGTGTTGCTTTCAAAGCCTTACCTTATCTGTCACCACTGGTTTTCCCCGTGTTACCATCTGACTGTGCATTAATTAAATAAGTTTTTCTGACTTCTGTAGGTGTAATGCTCATTCTTATAGCCATGCCTGTACTTATATATGCTATCTGCCTTTCCTCATCTCTCTGCCTATTCCAATTGTATCTATCTCTGATGTTTTACTTGTCTCATCTTTTACATGAACTTCCCTGAATTTTTTGACCATACAGAGCTCTTTTTTTTTCTCTGTTAATTGTTGTGGTATCTCTAGTCTTAACCAGCAACTTTACATTTAATTATCTGTGTTGAGATATTATTCTTGTATTAGTCTTATCTTTAAGAATTATGTCATATTCTAAAAAGGACTCTTTTATACATGGATCAAGTACAGCTTAGAGAGACTAAAGGCAGTTAGCCTCTTGAAAGTAATGTAACCATTCTGAATCCAGAATGGATTTCCAAGTGGGAACTCCCTAAAGATTGAGTTTGGCTTTTATTTTCAAAGTGGGAGACTTTCTGAAGACCTGTGTTATTAGTAATGCTTGGGTTTAGAGGCACTGTAGAGTGGTTTCTGATTTTTAAATTTTGTATCTGTGTTAGGTTTCTCCAGAGAGACAGAATCAATAGGATATGTTATAAACAAATGACGGGATTTATTAGGGAAATTAGTTCAGACAACTGTGAAGAGAAGTCCCACAATAGGCCATCTGCAAACTGGATGCTGGTAACATGGTTCAGTCCAAGTCCAGAGGCCTGAAAACCAGGGAAGCCAATGGTGCTTTTGGCATAAGTCGTGGAACTCGAAAGCTGAAGAGCTTCGAGCTCTGATGTCTGCAGACAGAAGAGAAGAGTGTATCCCAGCTCCAGCTGATACATAGCGAGATTCATCTTTTTTTTCCATTTTTTATTCTCTCTGGACCCCCAGCAAATTGAATGATTCCTGCCCATATTGTGGGCTAATCTCTCCTACCCAGTCCACTCAGGCTCCCATGCTAATATCATTTGGATACACCCTCATGGACACACCTAAAAAGATAGCTTTACCAGGTTTCTCAGTATTCCTTAATCTAATCAGGTTGACACCTAGAGTTAACCTTCACAGGATCATAACCTGAATCCTCCAAGTCTGCTGGACACTAGAACCCTGAATTAAGCTGTTTTCTAGATAATAGAAAGTGGCTTAAGGGGGGGAAGAAAGTGGCTTAAGCATGAAACTCGCCAGAGTAATCATGGAAATGTATAAATATGATGAAAGAATTAGCAATCTCAGATTATTTCAGTAGCCATAACAATTTCAAAAAATGTATAAAAGTAAGTTTTAAGTGTATCTAGGTTTACTTAGAATATCTTAATGATGGGATTCAGAGTATACACATAATATGAAGGATTTATAATTATATTTTTAGTTGAAAATGACACTAGTATGTTTACCCTTAACTGTAGTTAAAACCCAAATAAAAGTCATTTTAAATAATGCACATATGGCGTCTTAGTATTTGTAACTCTTGCAGAGTTTGTAACTCTCATATGCATGATGTGTATGATTTCTTTGTTCAAAAAGTTACTCTAACTTATTAATTTCCAAGCTGGATATATTTGCAAATGTTGTATTGATGTTCTGATTCTGCTTCCTATCATGTCTTTTCTTTAGTATAGCGACTTAATAGATTGATAGATTATATGCTAAAGTTATTTATGTAAAGTTATTTATGTAAAGTTAACACATTTTCGTTTGTAATTTCAGGAGCTGGAAAAAACCCTGGATGTTTTTAATATAACTATAGCTAGACAACAGGCAGAAGTCGAGGTAATTCCAGATTATCTTTCAGTTAGTGAAAATAAATTTAATTTCTATGTAGATATGACAGACATGATGTTATTAGTATTGTCCTGTAACATACTGTTTCCTAAAAAAGGTTCAAATTTCCTTTTTTGTGGAAAAATTTGATTTAATGTTTTGCCACATCCATTTAAATCAGACAGAGATTTCTATGGAAAATTTTTTTGCTAAATAATTGGCCTTGTCAAATATTCAGATTTCATGTGAAGGTTAAAAATCAATTTTTTTTTTTTTTCCCAAGAGCACCATCTCTTATAAGATAGTGGGGAGAACTATGTGATAATCCTAAATTCTTATGTTTGCCTACTGTTGCAGTCACTATATTCTCTTGTCAATGTTTATATCATTTACATTTATTCACTCGGTAAGTAAGTTTTGGAAATATGCTTCTATTTCTTTTGAATGCTAAATAAAGGATAATTTATCATTTATTTGAAAATTTATTCATTTTAGGCAAAGAAAGCTGGATACAGGATTTACAAAGAAGGGGTCAAAGATCCAGAGGATAATAAAGGGTGGTTTAGCTGGCTGTGGACTTGGTCAGAACGAAAAACTAAAGAACAACCAGATGTTAAACCTGGTCCGAACCCTCGGCGGGAGCGCCTCTGCGCTTCCCAAGCGGCGCACTAGCGCAGTGTGCCACCGGGCCGGCCCCTGAAAATGAAGTTTTGCAGAAAATTTTCTCTCAAAATAAATTAGACCTTGTTTGTGTATATAAACAGTAATATATTGTTTAAATTTATTATCAATAAAATTACTATTAAAACATTTTTAAATGTATATAAGTCAAACAAAGATAAACTTTTTAATCTACTAATACTTACAAAAGAGCTTTATGGCCATAGAATTTAGTGAATGCATACAGCACAGTAATAGATAATAAAAATTCCACAGTGGTGTAAACCATTGTTTCTCGGAAAGATTTTTGTTTCTTATTGAAATGCTTAAGATCATAGCTTTGGAAGCTTCAGTACTTAGGTGTACCTCTTGGATCTATCACTTATTAGCAGTGTGGGACTGGCAAATTGTTTATGCTTTCTAAACCTCCGTTTTATCATCCGTTAAATGGGGGATAATTATGATACTAATATTACCTGCTTTGTATGCTAAGGGTGTTGCTTAACACCGTGCTACCCAATACAGTTAGCCATTTTGGAGTTCTTGCTTAATACAAACATTTAGAAATTTATAGTGCTACATTTATATATCTATCAATTTATATTTTTGAAGAATAACTTGAAAAATTCCCAGTGCCATCCTAACATTTATTGGTTATAAATTCTTAAAAGTATTGGAAAAAGAAAGTAAATTTTGCATTTTGTTTATTAAAGGCAGCTAAATTATGTGTTAGTTTTATATTGTTATCATTTAAGAGCACAAAGCACTTCTTTATGATTTGTAGTTCTTGAAGAAATGTTGACTCCTGAAGAAAAAGCTTTACTCTATGAAGCAATTGGCTATAGTGAAACAGCAGTTGATCCAACCTTGCCAAAAACAGTAAGATTTTTTTTGCTTTCACTTTGGAGTTTAATGTTACATATGCCTATTTTTAATCCTTTCAGAAGTATATGTTACTGACGTGTTCTGTGATCTTTTTCTGGGTTGTAATTACATTTGTTTTAATCTCTAAGGTAGTGGTAAAAATTGTCCTTTGTTTTTTGGTGTTAATGAGGCGATTTTTTTAATGGATAAAGGGTTGTTTTCAAAATATTTTGTGGTTTTTGAAGTGAATGAACTATATTAATAAGATTATTTTTTGTGTTTATGTATATATATATATTTTTCCATTTTATTCTGAATATACTCTAGTTTGAAGCCATGAAGTTTTTTGTTCACTTGAAAAGTATATCTGTTGTTCTAAGAGAAAAACAACAAACACCTGAGCTGTTAGATGTTGTAATAGAAGAATTTAGCAGTTTGATTGTACAAAGACCAGGGGCACAAGCAATAAAGTAAGTATTAATTTATTTTCTTGTATATTGACATTGTAAGTTTATGGTTTTGCTTCATGTTTAGCCAGGGACTAGAAACTCATGAGGTTTCTCTCTGGTTGCTCCTGAGAGGGCACAGATCTGGGCATGCTCACAGTTTCTTCAACCACCAAGGATGAGTATGAATTTATTTTAAAACTCATTTCCTAAGAATGGGAATAAACTGTTGCTAAGAATAATTTATTGTTTGGTGATTGGTAAAAGGTTGTCCTTAAGCACCCTGAGCCAGTATGGATTTTGTTCTTTATTAATGAGTGTGTATGTGACTTGGGGACAAGTGTTATCGTAGTCCTCTAATTTCTCTTTCGTGGTGCAACCTAGCATATGCATGCAGCTCTTTCCCAGCCGTAGAATGAGTGTGATCCCGGGAGGGACCTACTTGGCATCTCTTTTCTTGGCTCTGTCTATTAAACTTATAGTTGGTCTGCTGTTTTATTTGTTGCTGCTAGTTTCATGGAAATTGCCATTGTTTTCAACAGTATCTTTAAGCATGAACCTGTCTTTGTTCTATAGTTATGTGTCGCTTAGTGACGGGGATACATTCTGAGAAATGCACTGTTAGTTGATACTGTCATTGTGTGAACATCAAGTGTACTTACACAAACCTAGGCTATATAGGATAGCCTGTCGCTCCTAGTCTGCAAACCTGTACAGCATGTTTTACTGTATTGAATACTGTAGGCAATGCAGTGGTGAATATTTGTATATCTAAACATAGAAAAGATACAGTAAAAATATGGTTTTAAAGATAAAAAATGCTATACGTGTATAGGGCACTTACCATGAATGGAGCTTGCATGACTAAAAGTTGCTCTGGATGAGTCAGTGAGTGATTGCTCAGTGAATGTGAAGGCGTAGGACATTATGTATAGTACTATAGACTATAAACACTGCATGGTTAGGCCACAATAAATTTATTTTAAAAATTGGGTAATTGCGCTACGATGTTAAGATGGCTACAACAATAGTGATATTTTTCAGTTCTGTTATAACCTTATGGGACCAATGTCATGCATGCAGTCTGTTATTGACCAAAACATCAGTATGCAGCGCATGACTATGTATGTATTGTGTCAGTCTCTTTGGGCAGAGTTACCAGTTTGCTATGTGAACTTCACTAGGGTATGCTCACCAGAATGGAACTTATGCTTTAAGACAAAATGTTGGAGGTACAATTGGGGCCCCAGTATTCTTGGAATGTGGCTCCTGGGTCAGACCCTTACTCTATAAATGGGAGGTGGGTGGGGAAAGGGAACCCCAGACCTCTCGGCAGTTCTTGCCTGGAATAGAGTTTTTGAAACATATAGGTGGGTGGAAGGGAGAAACGCTGCCTGCCTGTCCTTCTTGATGTTGAAACTGTAGCCCTAGACTTGGAGCTGATGAAAGAGGAGCCCCCATCATCTTAGCTGCACTTACCTGAGCATAGACTTTCTGTAAGAGAGTGTGGGGCTGAAGGTGGGAGATAACTGTAGCTCAGATGCCACAGACTGTCCCTTGATGTCACCAAGTTTTAGTAGATTTTCTTGAGTAAATGTTTTTCTGTTGAGTGTATGTCCTTAGGTCAATTTTCAGAAGCTTTATAATTTTTACTAGTTGTTTCATTGGTTGGTTTGGTGAGGAGAAGGGTTGCTGACCTGCTCTTGTAGCCATTCTGGAAATCCTGCCATGTGCTTGGTTTTTAATTGCTTATTTTTATTCTTCAGAGAAGTGTTTATAGAATTGTGTTAGGTATGAGAGACTTTGTAGTTTTACACTGTAGGAATTTACTGTTACTTCAGTTTTAGATTTTATCAGTAAGTACACCAAACATTAGCTTATTATAGCTTATTAACATAGAAATCAACATGTGAATAGGATTCTTTGTCAGTTTATGTCAGTTCAGAGGAATCATTGTATATTTTCTTTGATGTGAATGGACTAGAGTCACAGGAAATGCTAAGTGAAGTTGTTTTCATTAATTTTTATTTTACATTTTCAACTTGAAAAATTCTTTAAAACTGTACTGATTCCTAATTTCTGTCCTTTTTTTTTTAATGCAGATTTGAAACCAAAATAGATTCTTTTCATGTTACGGGCTTACCAGATAATTCAAAAAAACCTCGCCTCCTCTCTTCATTGGATAATGCTATGTCACTCTTCCAAATTATATTTGAGATAAATCCATTAGATGAAACTGTTGCTCAAAGGTGTATCATAGAAGCTGAACCTTTAGAAATGATATATGATGCAGTAAGCATTTTTTAAATTACCAGGTTTTAATATAATTCAATTTGCTTTGAGTTTGTGCCTCATGTTAATGATGCTTATTTCAACAGAGAACAGTGAATAGTATAGTGGAATTCTTCAGACCTCCAAAAGAGGTGCATCTAGCCCAGCTCACTTTAGCAACTTTGACAAAACTTGAAGAATTTCGTGATAAGACAGCAACAGGTAAATGCCAGTATTAATGTTGGCAAATTAAATACTATACCTCTTAGTGCTAATAACACCATGGTCTGGGGTTTGATCCCTGCAGTGGCCAGCAAAAAAAAAAAAAAGAAAATACTGTGCCCTATATTAAACATTTATTTATGTTAGAGTGATGGTAGGAAAGATTACTTTAAACTTTTGGTACCATTAAATACTATACCTCTTAGTGCTAATAACACCATGGTCTGGGGTTTGATCCCTGCAGTGGTCAGCAAAAAAAAAAAAAAGAAAATACTGTACCCTATATTAAACATTTATTTATGTTAGAGTGATGGTAGGAAAGATTACTTTAAACTTTTGGTACTTTATTATATTTCTGGATTGGATACAATTTAATGGAAACTAATTTGGTACTTCTATATTTAAAGGCAGAAACAACAATAATCAGTTTTTATACTCAGAAAGTTTATACCAGGTAACCATATTGAAGTTAATTGCAAAATTTTGTTTAGGATTTTTGAACCTTTGTGCATGACAGGAACTGGCCTGTCATTTTTCTTTCTTATAATTAGTTTTAGATTTTGATATATTGGTCTCAGAAAATAAAAGTTTTATGGGCCGGACAAATAGACCAATAGAGCAAAAGTCTTAGAAACAGACCCAAGCAGCACGCAGGGATATCTGGTACGGGACAG